AACAAGGGGAAGGGGAAGGAAAGGGAAAGGAGGAGAAGAAAGAGAAGAAAAAGGAGGAAGGGAAGGGGAAGAAGGAAAAAGAGCAGGAGGAGAAGAAGGGGAAGGGGAAGGAAAGGGAAAGAAGGAGAAGAAGAAAGAGAGGAAAAAAGAGGAGAGGGAAGGGAAGAGGAAGTGGAAGAAGGAAAGGGAAGAAAGAGAAAGGAGGAAGGGGAGGAGGAGGAGGAGGGGAAGGAAGAGGACAGATGTTTAATGAGTCCGAGTTGAGACCCTTCTCTAACGTAAGAGCGGAGTCTCCAGCGTTGTAAGACGGCAGCGGAGACAAGAGCGGTGAAACTCCATCCTGGGCAGCCGCTGATTTCTGACGGAGCTGTCATTTCCAGATTGGGGGGTGGGGGGCTGGGGGGCGCGGAGCACAATGGCAGAGCCAGGAGGGAGGGAGCTCGGATCTCCCCCCGGCGAAAGAGACCCCCCTGATTAAAATGGGCCCCTTGTTCTCTCGGTCACCCGATCATCGTGTGAACTCCTGTCCTGGGCTTACTAAGGCTGGCCGCCCCGGCTTTGAACCCCCCCCCTCCACCAATCCTCTGTCCTCTTTGCTGCTCCTCGGAGCCTCCTAACCAGGGAGGGATCAGAACCGATCCTCCCCTCCCCTCCTCCCCTCCTCCCTACCACCCCAGAGGGCTTTTTTAAAAAAGACGGGAAACGTCTTCTTCTTTTCTTTTTTTTTTGCTTTTAATTTATATGCCGCCTTTCTCCGGAGACTCAGGGCGGCTTACAATGCGCTCAGCAATAGCCTTCATCCTTTTGTATATTTATACAAAGTCAGTTTATTGCCCCCACAAACTGGGTCCTCATTTTACCTACCTTAGAAAGGATGGAAGGCTGAGTCAACCTTGAGCCTGGCGAGATTCGAACTTACAGTAATTGCAAGCATCAGATGTTAATAACAGTGTTTTAGTCCACTGTACTATCAGGCTCTCTTTTACCCAAGTTGCCAGCGCTCGCCTCGCCCTCTTGGACATTCAAGCTGGGAAGCCCCTCCGCGTGGTACGGGGAAGCGGTCAACCTGTGATTTCTCGCGGTTCAGGAAAAGGGTTTGAGTCAGAGCTTCTCCTTCGTGGCTTTGGTGCTTATAATAGTAACAGGAACAGAGTTGGAAGGGTCCCTTGGAGGTCATCTAGTCCAACCCCCTGCTGACGCAGGAGAGCTGTACTAGGGATTCGAACCAGTGGTGGGTTTCAAAATTTTTTAACTACCGGTTCTGTGGGTGTGGCTTGGTGGGCGTGGCATGGCTTGGTGGACGTGGCAGGGGAAGGACACTGTAAAATCTCCATTCCCACCCCGCTCCAGGGGAAGGTTACTGCAAAATCCCCATTTCCTCCTGATCAGCTGGGACTCGGGAGGCAGAGAATAGATGGGGGTGAGGCCAGTCAGAATTTTTACTACCGGTTCTCAGAACTACTCAACATTTCCGCTACCGGTTCTTCAGAACTGGTCAGAACCTGCTGAAATCCGCCTCTGATTCGAACCCGCTGAACTGCCTCTCACAGACCAGTACGCTCTCATAGAGAGGGGCTCCTCAGGGTGCCGTAGGTCAAACAGTGTCGACTGGCGGCCCCCAGGGGGAGAGCCTTCTTTGGGGGGGCACCTGCCATCTGGAACGAGCTCCCCCTGGAGATACGGCGGATCCCGGATCTGCGCGCTTTCCGCCGTGCCCTTAAAACTTTCCTTTTCCAGCAGGCTGGCCTGGCCTAACCTCTTTTTAAAATCGTTTTAAATTTTAAATTTTAAATTTGTCTTATAAATTGGGGTGTTTTAAATTTGTTTTCGGGCCATGGTATTTAATATATTTTAAATGGTTTTTCACATTTGTATTATGTGTATTTTATCTTGGCTGTTCACCACCCTGAGTCCTTCGGGAGTAGGGCGATATATAAATTTTGAAGAAAATGGAGGAGGAAAGGAAGGGGAAGAAGAAAAAGGGAGAAAATGGGAAGGGGAGAGGAGAAAAGAAAGAAGAAAAATGAAGAAGGGGAAAGGGAAGGGGAAGGGAGAAGAAGAAAGAAGAAAAAGGAGGAAGGGAAAGGGAAGAAGGAAAAGGAGCAGGAGTAGAAGAAGGGGGAAGGGGAAGGAAAGGGACAGGAGGAGAAGAAAGAGAAGAAAAAGGAGGAAGGGAAGGGGAAGAAGGAAAAGGAGCAGGGAGGAGAACAAGGGGAAGGGGAAGGAAAGGGACAGGAGGAGAAGGAAAGAGAAGAAGAAAAGGAGGAAGGGAAGGGGAAACAGGAAAAAGGAGCAGGAGGGAGAACAAGGGGAAGGGGAAGGAAAGGGACAGGAGAAGAAGAAAGAGAGAAAAAGGAAAAGGAGGAAGGGAACGGGGAAGAAGGAAAAAGAGCAGGAGGAGGAAAAGGGGAAGGGGAAGGGAAGGGAAAGGAGGAGAAGAAAGAGAAGAAAAAAGGAGGAAGGGAAGGGGAAGAAGGAAAAAGGAGCAGGCGGAGAAGAAGGGGAAGGGGAAGGAAAGGGAAAGAAGGAGAAGAAGAAAGAGGAGGAAAAAGAGGAGAGGGAAGGGAAGAGGAAGTGGAAGAAGGAAAGGGAAGAAAGAGAAAGGAGGAAGGGGAGGAGGAGGAGGAGGGGAAGGAAGAGGGACAGATGTTTAATGAGTCCGAGTTGAGACCCTTCTCTAAACGTAAGAGCGGAGTCTCCAGCGTTGTAAGACGGCAGCGGAGACAAGAGCGGTGAAACTCCATCCTGGGCAGCCGCTGATTTCTGACGGAGCTGTCATTTCCAGATTGGGGGGTGGGGGGCTGGGGGGCGCGGGAGCACATCAATGCAGAGCCAGGAGGGAGGGAGCTCGGATCCCCCCCCCGGCGAAAGAGAACCCCTGATTAAAATGGGCCCCTTGTTCTCTCGGTCACCCGATCATCGTGTGAACTCCTGTCCTGGGCTTACTAAGGCTGGCCGCCCCGGCTTTGAACCCCCCCCCTCCACCAATCCTCTGTCCTCTTTGCTGCTCCTCGGAGCCTCCTAACCAGGGAGGGATCAGAACCGATCCTCCCCTCCCCTCCTCCCCTCCTCCCTACCACCCAGAGGGCTTTTTAAAAAAAGACGGGAAACTTCTTCTTCTTTTCTTTTTTTTTTGCTTTTAATTTATATGCCGCCTTTCTCCGGAGACTCAGGGCGGCTTACAATGCGCTCAGCAATAGCCTTCATCCTTTTGTATATTTATACAAAGTCAGTTTATTGCCCCCACAAACTGGGTCCTCATTTTACCTACCTTAGAAAGGATGGAAGGCTGAGTCAACCTTGAGCCTGGCCGAGATTCGAACTTACAGTAATTGCAAAGCATCAGATGTTAATAACAGTTTTGTTTTAGTCCACTGTACTATCAGGCTCTCTTTTACCCAAGTTGCCAGCGCTCGCCTCGCCCTCTTGGACATTCAAGCTGGGAAGCCCCTCCGCGTGGTACGGGGAAGCGGTCAACCTGTGATTTCTCGCGGTTCAGGAAAAGGGTTTGAGTCAGAGCTTCTCCTTCGTGGCTTTGGTGCTTATAATAGTAACAGGAACAGAGTTGGAAGGGTCCCTTGGAGGTCATCTAGTCCAACCCCCTGCTGACGCAGGAGAGCTGTACTAGGGATTCGAACCAGTGGTGGGTTTCAAAATTTTTTAACTACCGGTTCTGTGGGTGTGGCTTGGTGGGCGTGGCATGGCTTGGTGGACGTGGCAGGGGGAAGGACACTGTAAAAATCTCCATTCCCACCCCGCTCCAGGGGAAGGTTACTGCAAAATCCCCATTTCCTCCTGATCAGCTGGGACTCGGGAGGCAGAGAATAGATGGGGGTGAGGCAGTCAGAATTTTTACTACCGGTTCTCAGAACTACTCAACATTTCCGCTACCGGTTCTTCAGAACTGGTCAGAACCTGCTGAAATCCGCCTCTGATTCGAACCCGCTGAACTGCCTCTCACAGACCAGTACGCTCTCATAGAGAGGGGCTCCTCAGGGTGCGTAGGTCAAACAGTGTCGACTGGCGGCCCCCAGGGGGAGAGCCTTCTTTGGGGGGGCACCTGCCATCTGGAACGAGCTCCCCCTGAGATACGGCGGATCCCGGATCTGCGCGCTTTCCGCCGTGCCTTAAAAACTTTCCTTTTCCAGCAGGCTGGCCTGGCCTAACCTCTTTTTAAAATCGTTTTAAATTTTAAATTTTAAATTTGTCTTATAAATTGGGGGGTTTTAAATTTGTTTTCGGGCCATGGTATTTAATATATTTTAAATGGTTTTTCACATTTGTATTATGTGTATTTTATCTTGGCTGTTCACCACCCTGAGTCCTTCGGGAGTAGGGCGATATATAAATTTTTTTTTTATTATTATTATTATATTATTATTATTATTATTATTATTATTATTATTATTATTATTATTAACTGCCGACCTTTCTGATCGACAAACTCAGTGTCTTAAGCCACGGAGCCGAGATGGGCAACAACGCCTCTGACCTTCTGCGCCTTTTAATTTGCGTCGGGCATACCCAAGAGGTGGAACTTCGATTTCACCCATCCTGACCACCATTTAGACTTTTTTTGTTTTAAATCATGATCCGTATATCTCCCCAGGAATGTGCATCAAGCATCACAGAGTTGGAAGGGACCTTAGAAGACTTTTAGTCCAACCTCAAGACCCTACACCATCCCTCAAATGGTCCAATCTCTTCTTGAAAACCTCCAGTGATGGAGCACCCACAACTTCTGGCTATCAGGTTTGTGTCAACTCTTCAAAATCATTTAGAGAGACCTTCTCAAGGATCTAATCTTACAGGTCTTCCTATAGTGGCCCCCGTTACCAATTCTGAAGAAGCATCTTGGATGAGAAGCAAAATGGTTTTAAGGGAAAAAAGCCAAAAAACTCCAGCTGCCTTTTGGAAAAAGCACCTGTGGGACACCTCATAAAGTTCTTGAGATGGTAGAAGAATCAACGCCTCTAGAAGAACTTGGGAGTTTCTCATCCAAGGTCCCATGAGAGAAGGTTCATCAGATCCAACAGGATATCTAGAATTTTTTCATTTTTTAAATCAATACTGCTAGAGAAGGGACTTACCATGGAATGGCTGCGCGGCTTCTGGCTGCCCCTCCAGGAAGTTAAAAACAGAGTTTGGCCGGTCAACACGAGATCTCAAACCATTTTTCCGATACGAAGGCCACAGGGATTAGATGGCGGTCCGAGGAAGACCCCCTGCAGAGGGGAAAAAAAAGGGGGATTTGTATACTTGGCTGCCAAGAAAATTTTTTTTATTTTTTTTTTTCCTTTCTTTTCACGAAAAAAAAAAAAAAGCTACCACAGATTCACAGCAGCTGGTAGTCCTCGACTTACAACAGTCCATTTAGCGACCATTCAAAGCTACAACAGCACTGAAAAAAATGACTTAGGGTTGCTTTTCACACTTAACGACTGTTGCAGCGTCCCTGAGGACATGTGATCAAAATTCAGCAACTGACTCGTATTTATGACAGTCGCAATGTCCCGGGGTCACATGATCCCCTTTTTGTGATCCTCTGATAAGCAAAGTCAATGGGGAAGCTGGATTCACTTAACAACCGTGGCAGGAAAGGTCATAAGATGGGGCGAAGCTCACTTACCAACTGTCTCACTTAGTGATGGAAATTTTGGGCTCAATTGTGGTCGTAAGTTGAACCCTGTGTATTAATATGTTCTGATGTCTTGTTTCAGCACCAGAAGTTGGACAGCTCCCTCTGAATCTTTGTCCTTTCCCCAGTGATTGGTTGGCCCCATGCCCTGGTCTCTTTTAGGAAGACCAATCAGAGACCGATTTGCATGGATTTATTTTGGTGGCAGTAATCAGATCCATATCGGTGCGAGCGTTACCGTTGGGCAGAAATCATCATTAAAAGCAAACAGGGGGACAGACGTTTGCAGGGAAGTTTATGCAATGCAAACGCTCCAGCTAGGAAGCCAGTAGAGAGGAAGGGAGCGGGTAAGGGAAGTATAAACAGATGTTTAGATCAAGCATTTCCCCACAATTCACAAATCACACAGAGAGAAAGGGAACGAGAGGGAAAGAGGGGGACAGAGAAGAGGGGAAAGAAGAGAGGAAGAGAAGAGGGACACAGAGAGAAAGGGGAAAGAGAGAGGAAGAAGAAGAGAGAAAGGGGGAAGAGAGAAAGAGGGAGAGAGAAAGGGGAAGAGAGGAAGAGAAAGGGGGAGAGAGGTGAGCAGAAAGAGGGAGAAAGGGAAGAAGGGGAGAGGAAGAGAAAGGGGAAAGGGAGAGAAAGAGGAAGAGAGAAAGAAAGGGGGGAGAGAGAAAGAGGGAGAGAGGAAGGGGAAGAGAGGAAGAGAAAGGGGGAGAGAGGTGAGCAGAAAGAGGGAGAAAGGGAGAGAAGGGAGAGGAAGAGAAAGGGGAAAGGGAGAGAAAGAGGAAGAGAGAAAGAAAGGGGGAAGAGAGAAAGAGGGAGAGCGAGGAAGAGAGGAAGAGAAAGGGGAAGAGAGGAAGAGAAAGGGGGAGAGAGGTGAGCAGAAAGAGGGAGAAAGGGAGAGAAGGGGAAAGGGAGAGGAAGAGAAAGGAAGAGAGTGAAAAAGAGGGGAAAGAGAAGAGGAGAACGAGTAAGAGAAAGAGAGGCAGAAAGAGAGAAAGAGATAGAAATAAATAAATGTATATGTGCATGTTTCTATGCTTCAGTTTGAGAGACAACCTGACAAGGTGGCATCTAGAAGGATCTCCACTTTGCCAAAAGTGGCAGAGCGGCTGATTGAGCAGGGATCACGTGACTATGGGGGAGGCCACCATGGTCATAAGTGTGAAAAATGTCCCTAAGTCGTTGTGGCTTCCCACGATCACTAAATGAACTGCGGTAAGTGAAAGACAATCCGTAGTCCAGGAACTGTTAAGGAGGATCTGTCTTCAGCCTCTTTCTCACACACAAAGTATCTGAACTTTGTGTGAACTCTTTATTGCTCTTGTGGAATTCACAACTTCATGAAATAAGATTTCATCCCAACTCAACTTACTCTGGATCGCAATAGCCCATCTCAAGCACCAGCCGCGGCATCGAACCCATCAGCCACAGCTCTCTCACCTGTTTCCATTGAAGGAGGTCTTGTAGTCTCCCGGGGAGAGTATCGTCTCCTCAGCGTACATCGGGACGGGCGTCCTCACGCACTCGTGCGAACACTGCAGGGTTTCGTTGTAGGCCGTGAAGATGTCCAGGTTGCTGGGCACTCTGGCCGGAGTAAAGTCCGTCAGGTTTTGGCAACTCTCTTCCTGCTGCTTAATTTTCCGCTGGTGGCCATTCCGACGGGCGTTCCCCCTCTGCGCACAGCTGGAAGGAGAACAGGAGAGGCCGGTTGGAAAAACATCTGGGCTTTTAGGAGACCCTTTCTAACCGAATGGAGAATGAGAGAATAGCAGAATAACAAGAGAATAACAGAACGACAAAACCACAGAGGGAAGGGACCTCAGAGGCCTTCTAGTCCAACCCCCTGCTCACGCAGAGTTCTCCAACTCGTGCTGACAAACAGGTCAAGTGATGGCCGGTGAGAAACCAGGATCCTACAAATGCTGGCTAGATCTGAAGGAAGGAGGCCAATCGCTTTGTGACGGAGCGTCTGTGTGCGATGGGTTCGGCCTCGTTCAACACAAACGCCACAACCTCTGCGATTTTGTGCTCAGTAGAGTTGTGAGCACGTCTATTCTCCGGCGCTTTGCAGGGGAATTAAAAAAAAAAAGTGGGATAAAAAAACCACCCTGTAAATAATTCATAAGAAAAAGTAACACAAACGCCAACCGGTCCTAGCGTGCCTGAGAGACGGCAATTACCTGCAATTCCAAATTTAATTATCGCTTTTTAGTACCTGAGAAACACCCGTCGCCACGGAGCGAGATCCTCGGGTTCCAGGTACATTTTATGCGCGTATTTATTTATCTTCCATAATCCGATCTCGAGTTTCAAATGACGGCCGTTGTAATTAAGGGGAAATTACCGACGCTAAGTACCGTGTCCGTGTAAGCAACGGCACCCAGTTTAATGCCGTTGCTTGTTGAGATGATTTCGTAGGCGCGACACGTCGCCCCATTTGTCATCAGACACGTCTCTCCCCTTTGACGGGGGTGGGTGGGAGGAGAGGACTGTCTTCTCCTTTTCTTCTCCATGGTCGTGGTTTTCTTGGGGGTTCCTCCTCGACAGATGGAGCCCCCTCCCACACACACACACACACACACACACACACACACCTGGCATGCGGACCCCTTCCCGGATTGTGGACCAAGAAGATGGATTTTAGCGTCTGTGCAACTCTGGAGAAGTTCAAACTTTTTAAAGAGCTTGCTGGCTGTAGACAGGGGTGGGCTTCAAAAATTTTAGCAAGGAGTTCTCTGCCTGGTTGCTGTGTAGGCGTGGCCATGGTGGGCGTGGCCTAGTCGGCCTCCTGCACCACAGGGGAGGGGGCATTTTTGCCCTCCCCGGGCTCCGGAGGCTTTCCTTGAGCCTCCGAGAGGGTGAAAACAGCCTCTCTAGGCTCCGGAGGCCCTCTGGAGGTTTCCGGCCTTCCCGAACTTCCGGTAGTTTGTTTTTTTTTCGCCCTCCCTGAGCCTCCGTGGGCGCCCTGCACTTACCTGCATCCAAAACAGGCCGCGTGGGGATTCCTGGGAGGGGATGGGCGGGGTGGGTGGGGCCAGCCAGGTGGGGATTTGGGGGTTCTCCGAACTGCACAGAATCTTAGCAGCCCAACCCTGGCTGTAGACCAGCAGGAAAGATACGGAGGTGTTCCTCTCTCTGTCTTCCTCTTGACATCTTTTTTTTGACCTACAGGAAGTACCCAGAGTTGTCCCTCTTTTTCTCTTCTCTGGTGGTGGCACCCTTTCTTTTTCCAGATCTATCTAGAGTGCAGAGAAGAGCAACGAAGGTGATTAGGGGACCGGAAGCTAAGACCTACGATGAACACTTGAAGGAACTGGAAAGGTCTAATCTATCAAAGAGGAGGACCAACGGGGACTTGGTAGCAGCCTTCCAAAATTTGTGAGGCTGTCACAAAGAAGAGGGAGGTCAACCTTTTCTCCAAAGCGCCTGAGAGCACGGAAAGAAGTAACAGGGGGAAGATGATCAAGGTGAGATCCAACTTAGAATTAAGGAGAAATTTCTTGATAGTGAGGACAATTAATCAGTGGGAAGATCTGCCTGCAGAAGTTGTGGGTGATCCATCACTGCAGGTCTTCAAGAAGAGATTGGACATCCATTGGACCAGGATGGTATAAGTTCTCCTTCTTCAGCAGGGGTTGGACTAGAAGACCTCTAAGGTCTCTTTCTGTTAATCTGTAATTCCAAAGCAGCTGAGGGCAGGACAAGAAGTAATGGATGGAAACCTATCAAGGAGAGAAGCAACCTAGAGCTAAGAAAAAATTTTCTGACAGTGGGAACAATTAACCAGTGGAACAACTTGCCACCAGAAATTGTGGGTGCTCCATCACTGGAGGTTTTGAAGAAAAGATGGACAGCCAGTTGTCTGGAGTGGCATAGGGTCTCCTGCTTGAGCAGAGGGTTGGACTAGAAGACCTCCAAGCTCCCTTCCAACCCTATAATTCCACATCCTACATTAAATCCTCGCAAACGATTTTATGACCTCATTTAGTTTGCTGTAAAACGAAAACGAGATTAAGCTTCTTGTTTTCTCTCGCCCCGCTTAGTTCGCTTTAATTTGCAGCCAAATCATTTTGAGGTTGATTCGTGTAACTCAAGTGAGGAGATGACAGAAAGTCACAATTGTTAGGAGCTGCTCAACAGATCTGAAGCTCCTCTTGAAGGGGAATCAGTAACTCGCGGAGAAAAAAATAATGTCTTTTTTTTTTTTTTTAAAGAGAAAATAGATAAATGAGCCATACAGCAGGGATGTGGAGGGTTTTTTTTTTTTTAAACTGTTTGGAAATTGGATGAAGAAACAAGAAATTCAATATAAGCGCACAGCCTCTGTGCCTGGGTGGTTCAGAGAAAAAATAGATTTCCAGTGGTTTTATTTTTTTAATTAGCGGCTACCGTTCCTGTCTATAAAACAGCTCAACGATGCAAAACCCGGAAGGTAATTCAGATCCACGGGTCGATCCAGGTTTATTTTTTGGTCTGACCTGTATTGATGGTCAAACCATACAGGTAGTTCTCGACTTACGACCACAATGGAGCCCAAAATTTTCATCGCTAAGCGAGGCAGTTGTGAAGGGAGTTTTGCTCCGCTTTGCGGCCTTTGGTTTCCCTCCGTTGTTAAGTGAACCAATGCAGTTGCTCAGTTAGGAACATGGTTGATAATGGTGAATCCGGCTTCTTCACTGACTTGGCTGGTGAGAAGGTTTCAAGAGGGGATCACGTGACCTCGGGACAGTGCGACTGTCGTAAATATGAGTCAGGTGCCAAGCGTCTGAATTTTGATGACTGTGGGGATGCTGCGATGGTCGTTAAGTATGTAAAACGGTCATAGGTCACTTTTTTTCAGTGCCACAGACCTTTTCCAAGTCAATGGATGGGGATATTCAAGGCCTACTTGAGGTTCCTCAAGCATGAAAGACAGTTGATAGGCAGTGCCTGGATCTCAGCAGGCTTCGTCCTCCGAGGAGACTTTCTATGTTTTATGAGACCTTCTCAACCAACCCTAGGAATCTCCATCCTCTCCTTCTCCAGATCTGGAGCATTTGAGGAGCAAATGTGAAGACCAGCGAGATGATGTAAAGCAGCTTCAGAAAGCTGCAACCTTCCTTCCCCCTGGAGGGAGAAGCCTGGAGCCTTCTCAACCAACCGATGTTGAATCGGAAAAAGTCTATCGTAGATCTTTTCCAATTCAACAGGTAGGGATACTCAAGTCCTATTTGTGGTTCCTCAACCAGAAAAGGAACCTCAAATAGGACTTGAATGTTTGAGGTCCCTCAACCACAAAAGACAGTTGTGGGAAACCCACACCTTTGAAACTCTTCCTGAAGATCCGACGGTGTTGGGTCCAACCTTTTGAGAACTTCCCAGATGATTGGTGGGGCCTGGATCTCAGCGGGCTTCGTCCTCCAAGGAGACTTTCTACTGTTTTATGAGACCTTCCCAACCAGCCCTAGGAATCTCCATCCTCACCTTCTCCAGATCTTCTCCAGCATTTCAGGAGCAGATGTGGAGATGTGGTAAAGCAGCTTCAAAAAGCCACAAACTTCCCTCTTCCTCTCCCCAGTCTCCAATTCTGGCTATCGTCTCCCAGGGGTCTCATCTTAAGATGAAAATGAGGCGAGCTGATCTCAAAGTAGGTTGGATTCACTAGGAAACGAGGTGACGGCAGAAGAGCCTGGAGCTACGACATAACCTAGTTTACGCCACGCAGGAGCCAATCCGCCAAGAAGAAAAGGAACTAATTAAACTAGATGAGAGCTCGGAAGAGATAGAAAGGCAGGAGAAGAAGGTTTTGATTTCCTGGCCGGTGGAAGGAGGATGCCAGGTGTCACTCTGCACCGCCTGCAGATCTGGTACACTCATACACACACACACACACACACACACACACACACACACACACACACACACACACACTCTTCTAAATGGTCTCCAAGAATTCAACCGAGTAACCTTGTTGGGTTCTTCCCAAATCAGACAAATTATCCTGCCCTTTCCTTCCAATCATTGGTGCTCTCTTTCTCTCTCTGTGTGTGTATGTGTGTTTGTGTTTGTGTGTGATTACAACCAAAGGGTTACAGCCCTGATTGGCGCTGAAAAAACATCCTCTTTGTACGTCTGCTGGAGGAGAAACCGAGAAGCTTTGAAGAACATTGTGCACAGAAATGTTTTGCAGAGAAGATTTTTGCATAGAACATTCTGCATTGGGCAATCTTTCGTCGTGTAAAACCTAGAGGAATATTTTGCATAGGAGAATATTGTGCATGGGATATTGTGCAAGGCATATTTTGCATAAAAGAATATTTTGCACAGAACCTAGGTCAGTGATGGTTAACCTCTTTGGTGCCGAGTGGCCAAAGCGCACGGACGCGCACAAATGCACGCACACATGCCTGAACCCCCAAAATGCAACGAGAGCACCACCCCCGTGCATGCGTCCTGGGCCCCCCTGAGCCCCATTTTGGCTTTCAGGTTGGTGCAGGAGGTTAGTGAGGAAGCCGGGTTCATTGGAGACCCCTCTCATTAACTTCAGCACCGCCGTGATTCATTTAATAATGACTGCGGCGAGACAGGTCGTAAAATGGGGCAAAGCTCTCTGAACAACTGTCTCGCTTAGCGATGGAAATTTTGGGCTCCATTGTAGTCCTGCGTCAAGGGCCACCTGGAACCCCCAAACGGGCTTACCAAACGGGCGTTGCCCCTCCCCCAACACAGCCAACCCACGACGGCGGTCGAGCGTCCTTACCAATTTTTTAAGACGAGGGTCGTGATCAGCGCGGCGATGACCATGATGAGCGAGACGGTGATGGTGATAATCTGATGGAGCGCCAGACCTGGGAAAAGAGCAAAGAAACATGAAGGTGGGATGGATGGAGAGAGAGAGAGAGAGAGAGAGATTCTGGGCATCGCTTGGGGAGGGTCAGCTCTGGACCGGTTGGTCGCCCTGCAACCCCAAACTCTGACTCCTCCCTTGTGGGGTGGGGGGTCCAAGCCAGTGAGAAAACCTCATGGAATCGAGAGAAGGGAGGATTTGGATCTCAGAGTTGAACAAGGGGGTCCCTGGGGGTCTCTGAGCTCGGATGTTTTCTTGCAGACGTCTCATGACCCAATTAGGGAACTTCATCAGTGCCAGAAGGAGTGGGCAGGAGGAGGAGGAGGAGGAAGGGAGGACTGGGAGGCCCTTGGTGGTTTTCTTGGGACGTTTCACGACCCAACTAGGTAACATCATCAGTGCAAGATCTATTAGTAATTATTATTATTAATAATTACTGGGACACTTTCTGTGCGAGAGGGGAAGGAGAGGAGAAAGAGAAGAAGGAGAAAGAGAAGGAGTGGAGGAAAAGAAGAAGTGAGGAAGAGGAGGAGGAGGAGGAGGATTATAGAGTCCTTATAGAATCCTCTGGTGGTTTTTTTCATGACCCAACTAGGGAACATAATCAGTGATAGAAGGGAGTGGGGTTTGCAGAGAGGAGGAGGAGGAGTGGGCTCCTGGTGAGCAGATAGAGCTATTATATGTGCCAATCTATAGTAGATTATTCTAGAATTTCCTTCAGACCCAGATAATTAAGCTACATAGAAATCAATAGAGTAATTTGCAAAAGTGTAGATTTCTTTTCTGTTATTTACTCATTCTCTACATAAAATAATTCATTACAATTCTATCTCTAAATCATATTCCTCTCTAAATAATCATCTCTTTCAATATTCTTCTCTTCAAAATCCCATTCATTCCAACCTTCTTCTCAACCTATATTCTTCACTCCCATCATAACCTCATCTCTCTTCACTGAAATGTCACAACGGCCTGAAATTTAGTCATATTACAGCCTCTAAACAAAGAAGCCCATTCTCTCTCATTCTCTGCTAAGTCCATCAATTTCACATATTCAAACTCCAAATTGGCATCCCTTTCCTGCACTTTACTGATTAAGGACCAGTCAGTTTCTCTCAGAACAACCAACGCCACAGAGGCTAAAATGCGGGAAATCTCGGCTTTTCCAGATAAAACTCAAATAAAAATAAGTTTGGAGAACACCAGTCTGGGTTGCTGAGAAATTAGTGACCCTCACGGGAAACAAGGGCCTTTTGTGTAGGCCCAGTGAAAAAATACATGTGTCTTGAAAATAGCAACAAAGCACCGATCAATATAAATCCAATTTACTTTCATGTCTGCATTATGGTACAAGGCTCTGGCCTACGAGGTTTCCATTTCTTCCAAAATAACCCCCTGGAACCCACCGTGTTTTCCAATTTTTAAGGTTTTGCACTCGGCCTCCTCTCTTTTACAGAGGTTTTTAACCCCAATCTCTGCGGTGGCCCTTAGAAATGTCCCCAAAAATGTTTTTTAAATGCCATTTTTCACAATGTGCTTGGGCATAATTGACAATGACCCCCAATTATTCATGCAACTAGGAGAAATAAATGTGTTTATAGGGAGTTCCTTCCTTCCTTCCTTTCCTTCCTTCCTTCCTTCCTTCCTTCCTTCCTCTTCTCCCTCCCTCCTCCTCCTCCCTTCCTTCCTTTTCTTCTTCCCTCCTTCTTTTTCCTTCCTCCCTCTTTCCTTCCTCTCTCCTCTCTCCTCTCCTCCTTTCCTCAGCCCTCCCTCTCTTTCTCTTCCTCTCTTCCCTCCCTCCCTCCCTTCTCTGCAGCAGCCTGGAGGGGTAAAATAGTCCCAATTCAGTCCCAGAGAAGTGATCCGAGCCATAACGGAGAAGAGACGCTGCCTGTTGTGGCATCTCCTAGCCTCGACGGAGAGCTGAGGAACATATTTCCAGTTCCACCGGGCTGATGTGTCCTGACAGAGGCCGTCATTACCCTGCCAACTTTTCTCTCCGTTTGCGGCCGGAGATGTCCCTGGCAATGGCTGTTTATGTTCATTAAGCCCCCTTCAGTTCAAGAGAGTGCCACTTTGCTTCCGTGCTCATGCAGCTGATTGTGGCAATCTGGGGCTTAGGGAGAGATCCATCCGTGGCAAATCTTCGGCTTTGATTTCCAGGTGGGAAAGCAGCCATTTCAGCAGGCTAGAATTATTTCCTCCAAAGATCATAGGAATGTGCATCCTTCTGTCCCCCTGCCCTCCCCTCCCTGTGATTTCCTCCACTGAGAAGCATTTGGTGATCTTCTGATGCCGTGCGAGGGAGGGAGGGAGGGAGGAAGGAAGGAGAAAGAGGGAGGGAGGGAAGAAGGAAGGAAGGAAGGAGGGAGGGAGGGAGGGAGGGAGGAGAAGGAGGGAAGGAGGAAGGAAGGAAAGGGAGGGAGGGAGATAGAAAGGGAGGAAAGAAAAATGATATTAAAGGAGGGGAAGAGGGAGGGGAAGGGAGGAAACAAAGAAAGGAAGGAAATAAAGAAAGAAGAAAGAAAGAAAAAGGGAAGAGGAGGGGAGGGAGAGGGGGAAATGACATTAAAGGAGGAAAAAGAGGGAGGAAGAAAGGAAGGAAAGAAAGGAAAAAGGAAAAGAAAGAAAGAAAAAGAAAAGAAGGGAGGAAAGGAAAGGGGAAAAAAGGAAGGGGAGGGGAGGAAGTGTTACTAACTTAACTGCAGTGATTCACTTAACAAATGTAGCAAGAAAGGTCGTAAAATGGGACAAAACTCACTTAACAAATGTCTCGCTTAGCCACAAAAACTTTGGGCTCAATGGTGGTCATAAGTCAAAGGCAACCTTCAACTTTGCACAATGCAATGAATTGCTTCACAATTGCTTTGGCCTATCCAATGTCTGCATCCTTCCCCGATGGCTTTCCCAGGGCTTGGGGGAGAGTTTGATGGTCTAGGCTGGGTCTCCTGCTTGAGCATGGGGTTGGACTAGAAGACCTCTAAGGTCCCTTCTAAGCCTAAGATTCTATGCTCCTTTGTGTTAATTCTGTGGCCAAGAGGTATGTGGGTCACCACCAAGGTCAGGTCCTAGGGAGATGCTTCCCACCCGCCCATCCGATGAAGAATATCAGAAGCTGATTCATGAAAACCTCTTCAGATTTGAACACAACATGTTCTGGAACACAGTGATGAGGTCCCAGATGGTTAACCTGGGTTTAAATGTTTTATGTGATGGGGACGTTTCCTTCCAGGCTGGCAGTTATAGGGCGAGTATTATTGATGTAATGGAGTTTATTCCAAATATTCACCAGTCTTGATGGACCAAAGTACAAAACTGTATTTTTCTGCCTATTTATTAGTGTCTTTGTTTTGTGCATTAAAGAGTGATCTTTTTCTAGCTAAAAACTTCATGAGCGTGAATAGGCAAGAAAGGGATATCGGTAAAGATTAAACCCTGAAGATAATGATGCGGATGCCAGAGACATCTATTTTACAACTTTAAAAATTAAAGTTGTTAAAAATAAGAAGAATCCTTGAAGGAGTAAAACCTCTCTTGGAGGTTCAGGTCTGAGCGGGCCATTTATTTGCCTGCTTCACAAGGTCTGGATGAGGATGGTGAAACTGTGTCTGAACCTCAGGAAGCAAGGTGACAATGCCTGTACGTATAGGTGCCAAAGTACCTTCATGCCAAATAGGTGTGGGAACTCAGATATTGAGCTTGATCCAGTCAAAGGCCCAACCATCAGCAAGGCACCTGGTTGTAGGTGTGCCAGTTGGGTGAGATTATCTTTCTTAAATAAACTTTGCAACCGTGATTGAGCGAAGGAGAACGTAATTATCAGGTTTGGATTATATCTGCGCTTTCAATTGTGCTCCTGGGAGCTTGAGGGTTCTGTGCAATTCAATAGCTGTTCCCAGCACCGCATTCTTTTGGACAGAGAGCTCCGAGGTGGTTCCTGTTGGAGGCACTCTTCCAGTTAGAAGGCCCATCCCGGAGTGCTCCCACTGCCTCTGAGATTCCTTTGGCCTTTACTTTCCACATCCTCTCCATTTTGTCCTTCAGGCCCTGGAACTTCTCCAGCATCTCACCTTCCTTCTCCCGGATATTGCTGTCACTTGGCACTGTTACATACTATTGCCACCTCTCTCTCTCTCTCCCTCTCCCTCCCTCCCTCCCTCCCTCCCTCCCTCCCTCCCTCCCTCCCTCTCTCTCTCCCTCTCTGTGTGTGTGAATGTGTTGATTTTTTAAAAATATGATTGTTTGACATAGTTGTTTTATACTTTTGGCTGAATACTGCCCAGAATTACTTCTTGTGAGATGGGTGGCCATATACATTTAATAGACGGATGGATGGATGAAAATGATATAGATAGATAGATAGATAGATAGATAGACAGACAGACAGATAGATAGATAGATAGATAGATAGATAGATAGATAGATAGATAGAATGGTAGGTAGGTAGGTAGATTGATAGATGATTGATATAGGTAGATGATAGTATATTGTACATGGTTAAATCCAAATCAGGTGATACTTATATTTATTGATGTTATAGTGAAGTTTGATTAATGAAGTTGAGCACAACTCCACAGATCCCCTCCATCTCCACCCCTTCCCCACGTACGTCCACGGACCTACGGTACAACATATTCAGATTCTAAGCTGCAAATTTCCAGTCCTCCTCTAGGGGGCAACAAAGAGGCCCAGAACTCCGCATTTTCTGCTAGCCTCTTAATGCCAATGCAGGTGTGGGCAGGCCGGACCTAAAAGCCTTTGGCACATTCTGAATCGGGCCACGAGAGTCCGGCTGCGCTATTTGAGGGGGGGGGTCGACATTCTCTAAAGCAGGCCAGAGAAGTAACGGGTGGGGAGGTCGTTCAGGGGAGATCCAACCTAGAACTAAGGCGAAATTTCCCGATCATGAGAGCAATGAATCAGCCGGACGGCTCGCCTCCAGAAGTTGCAGATGCTCCATCACGGGAGGGTTTTAAAAAAGAGATCGGACAGTCATTTGACCAGGGTCGCCTAAGGTCGCCTGCTGGAGCAGTGGGTTGGACTAGATGACCTCCAGGGTCCCTTCCGATTCTTG